GGGACACCGCGTATTGCTCACGTATAGACGAGACAGTGTGAGTCAAGCGTTTTCTTAGTGTGTGTCACACGTATTTTAGGACGGCATTTCTGTCCAGACGTCTTATAATGCTATTTCTCTCGTTCTTACGTTTGCGATAGAGGATGGAAGATCGCCGCGACTCCCACCACTATTCCCTCTCCAAGCGTCCGACGATCGTATACCGCTAGCTCCCTCCGCCACTCCGTACTGCTCATGGCTCACCTACACGCAGCAGTGTATGAGTGACGCGTTATCGTGTGCGAGTCACACGGATATTCGGACGGCATTAACGCCGGTGCGTGTAGTACCGCCAGCGGTACGAGGTGACGCTACAATTTTTCAGCTGTGGCGCGTGCGGGATCTCGGGAAATGAGGAAGATTCACAAACTCGTATTTTTGCTATACATAAAAATACAAAATATATTTTTTCGCGGATTATATCACAGAGAATATGTTAGCCGACTCGACTAGACTATATCTCAGTCTTCTCCCTTCTTCTTCCCTGTCCGTGTCGTTCGTTGATTGGCCGACTATCTCCTTTTCGGTAGAATTGCGGCTAATTGGTCGGTCACGCGTTAGTATCTCTAGATGACGCCACATACTCCCTCACGTGCCGAAGCTTCCAGCTATGGCGCGAATTTTGCTCGTTTCCCGGAATACATCTTGGGTTGTTCGCTCCGCAACTTGGAAGGTTGACCATTTGGTTCCCATGGTTTCGTACTCGGCGAACGTCTCTGAAAATGCTGGTTTCAGTCTTTGAATTGGGATGTTGGTTGCTTCCCTTTTCATGTGTATCTGAAATAGAGAATCTGAAATTCTTCGAAGAATTACTGATGAATACGTGTAGATCTTGGTGGGTTTTCGCTGGTGAAGTATTTTGCGGGTAGTCTGATCGTTGTACCATAGACTACTCAGATAGCACGATGAATTCTTTAAGTATTCCTAAAGTTTTCTCCTTTCCTGAATTGTACTTCCTTAGGAATTCGTAGAAGAATACTATAAGAATGATTTAGGAAGTTGCATGCACCATGATTGCAGTTCCTCAGAACTTTTTAGAGTATTCATATAATTACTTCAACTCAAAAAGATTTCTTCGGATTTAATAAATTTTATTGTCTCCACATCCATTTGATGTCATTTTGACATCAACCAACGAATCATTTTTCGCTGGATACTATACTGTTATAACTGTTATACTGTTATATATACTGTTCTAACTGAGCTTTAAATGTAAGTAAAGCGCACTTTCAAATATGTAATTCAAAATCTAAAAATAAATGGCTTCCAAATAATGCGATTGAGTTTGTTAGAACTATATATGGATTTTAGAAACATGAATACAAACTTAAGGATAAAATATACTTCGCATAAATATACTTATTATTGATACAGGTGAAAATTTTATATATCAAAAGTTATTTTAATACCAATTTCCTCTCTTTGCTCTATTATATAAAACTATATAATTAATTCCACAAAATATAAATAACTGCAAATTACAATAAATTAAACAATTTATATGTAAATATGTAAATTAATTATTATACACTTACTGGCATGTACTGAATATAGGCGCAAAAAGTAATTACTATAAACAAAACATTTGTAAGGGCTAATGCAAATGAACGAGACATAAGCGTCATAGTTGTAGACGTAAAATAAAGCAGAGAAAAACGTAAATCATGAAAGGCTACTAGTCTTACGCTTACGTTTTTCTCTGCCTTACTTTACGATTACGACGCTTACGTCTCGTTCTCTGCCTTAGTCTTAATTCCTCATGAATTCTCAAAGTTTTCTAGGAATTAAGTTGCAAAGTATTCGCTACAATGAAGTCCTAAGGAATATTTCAAGACGAACTTATTGTGGTCAATTCTTCAAGAATTCTTCGTGTATTCATTTTTCTAATTCTATATCTATTCTTTAAAATGAATTCTCTAGGAACTTCTGTTCATCTCTATGTTATCTGGGTAGTTCTGCCAATGTAGTAAATGATTCTGCTTTATGTCTTCTTTAATGCTGGTGCGTAAGCCCAGAAGTACTAAAGGTGATGCTTGTATCCAATTTTTATCTTGATGACAATGGATTGCAGTTTTTAATGACCTGTGCCATCTTTCGATGATTCCGTTTGTCTCCAGGTGATATACTAAGATTTTTTTGCGTTGGCTTCCCATCATTTGCGTTAGCGCGTTAAACAACTGGGATTCAAATTGTTTTTCTTGGTCCGTTGTTATCGTTATAGGTACACCAAAATGTGCTATCCAGCCGTTTAATATAGCTACTGTATCTGCTGATATGTCTTGTACGGGTGCTGCTTCAGGCCATCTCGTGAAACGGTCGATTAATATTACACAGTACCGATAGTTTTTGATGTTCGGTAATGGTTCGATTATGTCAACATGTATATGATCAAATCGTCCTTCTGATATGGGAATATGTTCCGGAATGGTGTTGTTGTGTCTGTGAATTTTATTTTGTTGACAGGAATGACAAGCTCTTGCCCAATTGGTAATTTCCTTGTTCATTCTTGGCCATACAAAATGTTGACTGATCATTAATCGTGTTGCTCGATCGCTCGGATGAGCCAATGCATGGGTAGAGACAAACAGTTTTCTTCTCATATTCCTTGATATACAGGGTATAGCAAAAGTACCGGAACGGCAAGATAACTCGACGGGGAAGCATTTTAGAGAAAAATGTTTCAGACAAAAGTTGTAAGGCTTAAAAAAACGCATTCAACGATAGTAGTTATTTGACATAGGATGGCGTGGCCAAGGTCAGAACAAGGTCAACTTTGCTTTTTTAAATAGAAACACATATTTTTTATTATGGCATTTTATTCAACGTAAAAACGCAAACAACTTTTGCTTGAAAAAATTTTTTATACGGCCTCTATTTTCTAAGATATTTACGTAAATATCTACAAGATTATTAGTTTCAATAATTTTTTACTCGAATTCTATCAACTTTAGCGGAAAATATAAAGAGATAAAAATTGTATATTTTGTTCTCATAGAGCTCTGAGAATTTTTTCAGAATTTTATATTAACTTTTTAGTACTTCATTTTCTTACATTTTCTTGAAGTACTAAAAAGTTAACACAAAATTCTGAAAAAATTCACAGAGCTCTATGAAAACAAAATAAGCAATTTTTATTTCTTCATATTTTCCGCTGAAGTTGATAGAATTCAAGTAAAAAATTATTGAAACCAATAATCTTGTAGATATTTATTTTTTTTCTTTGTAGATCTTGTAAATATCTTAGAAAATAGAGGTCGTATAAAAAATTTTTCAAGTAAAAGTTGTTTGCGTTTTTACGTTGAATAAAATGCCGTAATAAAAAATATGTGTTTCTATTTAAAGAAGCAAAGTTGACCTTGTTCTGACCTTGGCGACGCCATCCTATGTCAAATAACTACTATCGTTGAATGCGTTTCTTTAAGCCTTACAACTTTTGTCTGAAACATTTTTCTCTAAAATGCTCCCCCGCCGAGTTATCTTGCCATTCCGGTACTTTTGCTATACTCTGTATACGGTCTGGCTTCTTCCGTGTTGACATCACAGTATATTGTTTTATCGGTATCGCCTATTCTGTATTCCCTGAGTTGAAGTGACGATTTTCCGGATTCAAGTAACTGTCGTAACTCCTCATCTTGTTCTTGTGCTTCTGCCAGTTCTTCCGTTGATAAAATAATTGGAGC